AATCCGAATCAATTTCATGCTGCTCGGCGGGGGGAACGCCGCAGCGGGCGCGTAATGAATTGGAAGTTGATCTGTCAGCACTATCCTTATCTTCAGGGCAGATGTTTTTATTTTATTTGGCTTATAATTCCTTGCCAAATTAGTATTTCATCTCGATGTGCTCCATCTTTGATATGATTTAAAACAAGTTCCTCGTCATTATAATTCGCTTCCGATAGCGAAGAAAGTGACAGAGGTTAGTGAAAACGAAAAAATTTCGATTGACAAATTAGTCGGTGTTCTCGACACAGCAATTATAGAACTTGAACAGCGGAACTTTGTAACTGAACAAGAAATTATGTCTGTTTAATAGAATTAAAGAGAAAGTATTATCACATGAAACGAAGCAAAACTTAAACAACTTACATTGAAAGAAATGTTTAAAGTAAACAAATAAATATTAAGCTTTTTCTTTTTGCAAATTTTGATACCCTTTAGATCATAATTGTTCTTTATTTCATAAATTACGGTTTCATATTTTTAATTTTAGAATTTCTGCATGCCATCTTACGAGATTTAAACTGATGATCTATAATCCGGAAAAATCGATAATCCGGAATCGCCGAAGTCCCGACGAGTCCGGATTAACGACTTTTGACTGTATTTTACAAGATCCTGTGGATAAAGTTATTGCAGTTGTTAACTTCATTATAGTTAATGCAGTTCATCATTGGGAATTTCAAAATATGATTATATTAGATTATGAAACATGTTGCTGATTGGCCCTATTGATGCAAATTTCACTGATTATCAAGGGGCTGAGTAATGTTTTAACTTTACAAGCACAATTGTACATTCTACAAGAATGAGGGAAAGCCATGCAAAGAATCGTACGAGGGTTGGAACTTTAATAGTGGCAACTATTTATTTACAAGGAATACAAAAGTGATTCATGTCACCATGTTTTACAGTCCGTCAGTATAGTCGCCAGCATTGTGTACAACCCGTTTCCAACGATGTGGAAGTTGCATATACCTGTAGCAGCGCCTGTTTTGTTGATAGTTTGAATGGACCGGTCTACTGCCGCAAGAATCTCAGGAACAGTTTGGAAGCGAGTGCCACGAAGTGGTTCCTTCGTCTTAGGAATTAAGTCATAGTCACAAGGGCTTAGATCTGGGGAGTATGGTGGATGGTAAAGCACTTCCCAGCCCCATCGCTTGAACAAATCAGTCACTGCTTGTCCTGCATGTGGCCGAGCATTGTCATGCAAAATGAGAGGAGCGTTCTACAGATAGTGTCGCCGTTTTTTCTCAAATCTGGTCGGAGATTGTGCTCCAAAAATGAGCAGTAATACTGCGCAGTGACGGTCTGCTGTGGGGGAACAGTATGCGTTAAGATGACACCATCACAGTCGTACACGAGAATCACCCTAACTTTCACATTGCTGGGATTCTGATGAAATTTCGAATGCCGTGGTGACCCATGATGACACCATTCGTTTGATTGGCGTTTCAGTTCTGGTTGGTACAATCGGGCCCAAGTCTCATCCAGCATACTGATACGGCATAAAAAAGCATCTCCTTCGCGCTCATAGCGTTCCAGGTGGGTTTGGGCAGCATTGTATCGTAGCCATTTCTGCATTTCCGTCAATTGATGTGGAACCCATCGTGAAGCAGTTTTTCTCATGGACAGGCATTCCTTCAGAATGTGCAGCACAGTTGTATATGCTAATCCTGTTTGTCCGGCCAGCTGACGAACCATTTGGCGGCAATCACTGTCCATTAGTGCGGCAACAGCTTGCACGTCTGCATCGCTGAAACTCGGACGACCTGGCCTCAGCATGACTGCCACGTTTTGGCATCCTTCATTGAATGCTTTCACCTATCTTGCTACGGTTCTGTAAGGCAAAGCAGATTCCCCGCTAGCCTCTTGAAGCCCTTGATGACACTGTTGTGCTGTACGACCTCTGGCACATTCAATTTTTATCCAACATCGTTGTTCTTGTTTTGAAAATATCCTGACAACACTTTAGACCACGAGCTAATACAAGGATCCGTTCTTTGCGTCACTATGCATGCACGTGACATAGGAAGGACGAGTCTTTTTGCTGAGAGGTAAGGTAGGTATGTACTTTACTTGTGGTATATGCAATATTCTTTGGTTTTGTTGTGTAGCGTTTTTTTCAGCTGTGTTGCCACTATTAAAGTTCCAACCTTCGTATTTCTTTGAATTTTGTAGAAATGCTGCATTTTCATCAGATATGATAATAAATAAAATGATTTCAATATTTTCCTTCAAGGTAAAACAATAATATATATATATATATAGTAAAGTTAATTGACAAATATTCTCTATTCGTATAAAGCTAAAATAAAATTAAATTTAATTAAGAAATTTTTATTTGCAAAAATAAAAAATATATATAAAAAAAAAAAATAAAATTATTATTGCTACAAACTAATTTACAGTATCATTTAATTCTAAGAGCATATGTAATTCAGTGCACATATCTAAACCATGGAAAAATATATTATTCCAAAAAATTAAATTGCATAAGTGAATAATTAGTTTAAATGATAATGTAAATTAGTTCGCAGTAATAATAAATTTTATTTTTATTTTGATATTTTTTTATTTTTGAAATTAAAATTTCTTAATTAAATTAAAATTTTATTTAGCTTTACACAAATAGAGAATATATATATATATATATATATGATGTGTGTGCCAATTCCTTCAAGGTAAAACAAAATGCAGTGGATGGACAAAAATATGGAAACACCTTGTGAAACGCATGTTTCAAAAAAAAAAAATGATTTTAATGAAATATGTAGGTGGCGTTTTTGACTACTGACGCCACCTATACAACTTCGTAAATGTACTAAACAGTTCAGTTGTTGTCGGAGTACTGTTATGTGAGGTTGTCATTGCATTATGTCAGAGTTAACAGACTTCGAACGTGGGCAAATTGTTGGAGCACGTATGGTAGGTGCTTCCGTAAGCAAGGTAGCCGAGGTGTTTAGTGTTTCAAGAGGTACTGTATTGAAGATTTATTCCGCATATTTGAAAAGCGGTAAAACATCATCTGCTAAATCACAGCGCGGACGAAAGTGTGTCCTGAGTGATCGTGACAGACGATCATTAAGGGCAATTGTGACGAAAAAAAAATAAGAAGACCACAGCTGCAAAAGTTACTGCTGAAATGGAATGTTGTGTTACCGAGCCCTGTGAGTATCAAACAATTAGAAGGGAGCTTCATAAATAGGGAATTGCTGGCCGTGCTGCAATTGAGAAGCCACTCATCAGTGATGCTAATGCCTGTACAGGGAAAGGTGGTGTTAAATCATAAAGCCTGGACTATAGAGCAGTGGAAGCGAGTAATATGGTCTGACGAGTCTGTCTTTCACATTGTTTCCCACTTTTGGCCGAGTTTGCGTCTGGAGAACGCCATCTCAAGCCTATAATACCGGACTGCTTGTTGCCAAGAGTTGAAACATGGCGGGGTTCTGTTATGGTTTGGGCAGCCATATTGTGGTTCTCTGCTAGCCCCATGATAACTGTGTCAGGGCACATGACTGCCAAGACTTATGTGAACATTTTTTCCGATCAAGTTCATCCCATGGTACAAACTTTGTTCCCTGATGGTGATGGTGTCTTCCAAGACGACAAAGCCCTTGTTCACACAGCTCACATTGTCCAGGACTGGTTTTCTCAGCACAAGGATGAGTTTTCCCATCTCTCCTGGCCACCACAGTCACCAGACCTGAATATTATCGAACCTTTGTGGTCTACATTGGAACGGAAAGTGCGTTCTCGTTATCCACCGCCAACATCGTTATCTGAACTTGCCACCGTTTTGCAGGAAGAATGGTATAATATTCCCTTGGCAAACATACAGGAACTGTATTTATCCATTCCGAGAAGAATGCAAGCTGTTTTGGATGCCAACGGGTTTCCTACACCATATTAAGCAAAGAAACATGTAAAGGTGTTTCCATATTTTTGTCCAACCCCTGTATATACATATGATGTGTGCCAAAATCTCAAGTCTTTTAAAAAACATTGAATTTTTCAAAACTTTACTCTCCTGCTAGGTACCACACTAGTGATTAGTGATTGAGTAGCTAGGACTTCTGAATGCTGAGAGTTCAACCTGGGCTCAATCTCAGTTGAAAGGGCTGTTGTTTTTATGGTTTTTCCCATGTGTAACATGACTATGAAACAGCTATGCTTCATTTATGCAGGTAGCCCTCATTTGCTTTGCCATGTTCAAATAACCTAACTTCTCATTCGTATGTATGTGAAGAACATTTCCTGCTTCCTTTGCTAACATTTCCTAGTCTTAAAAAAGCAAAAATATGAACACAAAACTTCAGTAATTATAAAGCCATTTTTCAATTCTTTAATCGAAGACTACAGGGATAAATTATCATATTTTGAAGAGCATGCTCTTATGCAACTAGCTTTTGAACTGCATCTGCTTGATGTCTCAGACGCACCTATGGAACTAATTTGGTTGGGAGAAGATAACATTATTTTAAATCTCTTTTTGATACCCAAAAGAAGCCCAATGAAATATGGAAAAAGAACAGTTAAATGCCCCAACTTGTGTGACCACGCACAGCATTTTCTTTCCTATTTTGGATATACGTCCTGTTTCAAATCAACATTTTTGTATATGACATAAATTTAAAATTAATTAAGATAACAAATAACTGAGGTTCAGTTAGAAGATCAACTCAGATTAGGAGTTTGCAGCTGGAACCAAATATTGGACTACTTTCAAACAAATTCAAAAGTCGCATTAAATTGCATGTCCTTTTGTACAACACGTGTATAAATTTTTGGTATACTTTTGTTTATAATACAATAAAATTTTATTTAGAAAATAATTAAATAATAATTTCAGAACAATTAGACTGAAGATTCTATCACTTTGTGCAACCTTTAGCATCGCTGTTAAAGTTTGATGGGTATCAAGGTAAAATGGCTTCCCACCCCTTCTGTAGTTTCTGTGTAACATGGGAATATTCAGAGTATCAAAATATTTGGAGAGCCAAATATTGGTGGTTTTAGTGACTGGTGGAGAAGGGTCGAAAACCTTCAGACCCTTCCCCTCAGGATGTACTTTGTCAAATTTGGGCTGGAGTTCAACAGCTAATGTAGTGGGATCTACACCATACATTACCAGTGGTTGGGATCTACACCATACATTACCAGTGGTGGAATTCTGGTGCCTACCCCACTTCCCTGTACCTGCTATTGTTGTCCTGCTTTTAAGGGTAATTTTTTCAGCTGATATTTGTTCTCATTCTTGCTGAAGAATTCATATTACTTTTTTCTGTATGCTTTTACTGATAAAAAAAGGGCCCTTTGATATTTTTAAATGTTTGTCTTTGTTTTTACTTTTTCTTTCATTAACTATTTTAACCTTTTTGTGTATATTTAAATCAAATTGTGTGGTTACTTAATTTCAGTCATGAAATTTGTCAGTACTTCATTCTTATTTTATTTTTTCCATAAAATACTTTATATTTCTGTTTCGTTTAGAGACTAAAAATTATTGTCGTGAACTATTGGTTATAAATGTGTAGATAAAATTTTTTTATTGCTTTACTTTAATTCATTTCTTTTACTCTTTTGCAGCAAGAAACCATTGCTCTTAGCCAGAAAGAGAAAAGTAGACCATCCAGTGGTAAATTTGCTCCAAGGCCAATAGCTCCGGCTAGACCACAGTCTCCAGCAGTATCTGCTGCTACTCTTAAAGTTCCTGACACAAATCTTGTTCCCAATCCCCTTGTAAATAAAGCGCCTACATCTGATAGTCCAGTGCCATCTGATAACTTAAAGTCATCAGAAAGTGTGAGTGAAAATATAAGCTGTTATATGTATATATGTTATTCTTTAAAACTGTGCTAACTTCAATTTTAAAATTAAAAACTTTTAAAAATTATAAAAGATTCTGCCTATTTTTTGAAAAATTCATAGCTTTTAAGTTTTGAATTAAAAAGCATTATTTAAGTGCTGAAAAGTTCAGAATTTTCTTTTATAGCAATAGATATTTCTTTAAAAAATTTTGGAAATTTCAGCTGTAGGTGAGGGACTTTCTTTTTTTTTTATTCATTTTTCTTGAAGGAGTGGCTATGAAAAGCAAATTATGCATAATTTTCAAACTAAAAGCATTGTAAAAATACATATTGCAAACAAGAAATTCAAACATTGTGAACTAGAAATTTACCTCTAAGCAGATAAATCATAATAAATGCAGCATTCTAGTATGAATTAAAATTATAGTACCTTCATCCAGTATGTCAGAGGGCAGTAACCCCCCAGTAATATGGATTTTTTCAATGAAAAACTTTAATTATCTTATACAGTGCCATTTTATATTCACCAACTGGCAGCTTGTGTACTTGAATTTTACCTTTCCAAATCTCTCCTCTCAGTCTATGACAGATGCTGTTGTAAAGAACCATTCTTAGTATTGTTTCTGTAATTTATTGCTAGGAATATCCTTTACTGTATATTCCTATCAGTTCCTAGTTATTTTAATAGTTATTGTAGAATTTTTTGTAAAATATTTTCATCAGTTTTCTTCCTTTCAAGTTTTTTTTTTTTTTTTTTTTGTGAACATTTCAATTTTTGAATATTAAAAATTACGTATATGCAAAGGGGAGGATAAGAATTCTAGAGAGGATTAGGTGGGGCATAGCAGAAAAAAGGTTGGGAAACGCTGGTCTACACTGCGCAACGTTCTGTCTTGTGACAGGTATTGAAAGAGAAAGCTTTTAGAAGTCTGTTTTTGGCTTGACTATAAGGGGGGAAAAAAAAACTTTTGCGAGGCAGCTTAGCAGCGAAAATAATTGCAATTGTTTATTAGGCAACTTCGTAGCAAAAAATAATCACAGAATGATAAGTCTGGAGAACAGAATGACACTTATTTTCATGCAGAAGCAACTCTATAAAATGATTATTGACCAATGGGAACATACATTATCATGCAATACAGTGAATTTGGAGTAACAGTTTTGTACTGAATAATGTAAGATCAAAAATTGTCTGCTACATTCTTTCAAGTCAACTACTTAGCCAAACATTTAAAATTGTAGAATTGTTTTGACACCTCATGTTATAAGATAAATCTAAAAATCTAACTCCTGTTTATTCTTCTCAGAATGTAGCAATATTATTGTCTTGTCTTTAGCTTAGATTCTAAGAACACTAAATTAATATAATAATAGCAAATGTAACTGAATATTTATTTGCTCTATGGCTTAGTAGTTTAGTTATTGGACCATAGAAAACTTTGCTGTGCCTGAGAATATAATATTTTAAATATTTACAAATCAGATAGTAAATAGAGACTCATAACCTGGTTCCTACAGTAAGCAAGCTCCACCAATGGCCAACCGGTGAAGACCACTGAATACTCACACATCATCACAGGTTCTAACCTAGGTGAATGGACTACCACGTTTTCATAGTTTTCCCCCATGTGCAGTGTGAATACGAACCAGTTCCCTTAGAAAATCCCTCCAGGAAAGAATCTCTCTCCTTAGGCAGATAGCTCTTGTATACTTTGCCATATTGAAATAACCTAAGATAATGTGATGAGATTTTAGAAAAGAAGACAAAAATATATACCTTAAATTTTTATTTAGTTAGAAAAATTTAATTTGGTTTAAAATTAAAATAGTGTCAAATTTTTTAATAAACAAACAGCAAAGCTTGGATTTCTGAAACATTGCAGTTTTGAATATTACTAATTTGTGTGTATCTTAAGTGTCTATACACATATAATAACGAATCTTAGTTTTCTGAATAATCCATGTGCTGTATTTCTTTGAATCTTGCCATAAAAAGATATTCCAGTTTTTGACTACATGCACACATGCATGTAGTTATATTTGCTTGTAATGCTTCAATCTATATTCATATTTTGATTAGAATATTAATTCAGGAACCAACACCAATATTAAAAATGTTACATAATTTGAAATATCCACTATTACGAGTTCTTCCATAAGTAATTTTTGAGACAGCAATAGTAATTTACTATTTATTTTAATCGTAAAGCTCTTGAATTATTTATATAATAAAACAAGGTAGTTCAGTTATCATTAATCGATGTAATGTCAGTTCATGAAATAGTAAAATTTTATTTGGTATACTTTTGGTACAGCAAGTTTTATATTTAAAAATATTGAATCATTTTAATTAATGAGTCACTTTTAAAAATTTTTTAATGAAACAACTTTTTCAGTTTTAGAAAATTTGATGTAAATGATGTTAAAGTAAAAACAGCAGATGATAAATATGATGAAGTAAAAATTTACTTAAAAAAATATGAATTTTCCTGTATAATTTAAAAAATTTCTTTCTATATATTATTTATAATATTTATTATGTATCATTAATAAAAATATAAATTCTATATAATAATTCCTCCATTAAAAAATTTAAGGTTAAAAAAAATTGTGACAATTCATTGAAGATGGTAACAAAGTGTATAAACCACATTTGGCATTATTATTGCATATAACAAAAGATGCCAAATTTCAAAACATGCAAATATATAAATTCACATCTTCAGATTATTTTAATCAAAATCTCTTTTGCATATGTGTCTAGAAATATGTGTACTTTGAGATGATGTTTAAAATGATTATATGATTGTTATGATTTAAAGAATTTTTTGAAAAACTTGTAAAAAATATTTTAGAAATAAATCGGAAGAAAAAAATACAGCAATTTTATTTAGACTGAGAATAAAATTCAAACTATGAAAGAAGAAATCAAGTTTTATTAAAAAAAGATATTTTAATAAATATATACCAAATTCACTTCAGAGTTAAAACTAACATTATAGAGTTAAAACTAAGGGCTAATTAAAAAAAAAAAAAAACTGTTGCTGTGTCAAAATATGTAAGGTTAAGAACAACTTATATATAAATCTCATATACAGTGGATGGACAAAAATATGGAAAACACCTTGTGAAATGCATGTTTGAAAGAAAGATTGATTTTAATGAAATATGTATGGTGGCGCTGGCATTTTTGACTACTGACCGCCACCTATAACCTCTTCGTAAATGTGCTTAAACAGTTGAGTTGTTGCAGGAGTACTGTTATGTGAGGTTGTCATTGCATTATGTCAGAGTTAACAGACTTCGAACGTGGGCAAATTGTTGGAGCACGTATTGGTAGGTAGCTTCCGTAAGCAAGGTAGCCGAGGTGTTTTAGTGTTTCAAGAGGTTGCTGTATCGAAGATTTATTCCGCATATTTGAAAAGTGGAAAACATCATCTGCTAAATCACAGCGCGGACGAAAGTGTGTCCTGAGTGATCGTGACAGACGATCATTAAGGGCAATTGTGACGAAAAATAAGAAGACCACAGCTGCAAAAGTTACTGCTGAAATGAATGTTGTGTTACCGAACCCTGTGAGTACCAAAACAATTAGAAGGGAGCTTCATAAACAGGGAATTGCTGGCCGTGCTGCAATTGAGAAGCCACTCATCAGTGATGCTAATGCCCGTAACAGGAAAAGTTGGTGTTTAATTCGTAAAGCCTGGACAATAGAGTAGTGGAAGCGAGTAATATGGTGTGACGAGTCTTCTTTCACATTCTTTCCCACTTCTGGCCGAGTTTACGCTTGGAGAACGCCATCTCAAGCCTATAATACAGACTGCTTGTTGCCAAGAGTGAAACATGGCGGGGGTTCTGTTATGGTTTGGGCAGCCATATCGTGGTTCTCTGCTAGCCCCATGATAACTGTGTCAGGGCACATGACTGCCAAGACTTATGTGAACATTTTGGCCGATCAAGTTCATCCCAGGGTACAAACTTTGTTCCCCGATGGTGATGGTGTCTTCAAAGACGACAAAGCCCCTGTTTCACAGCCACATTGTCCAGGACGGTTTTCTGAGGACAGAGAGTTGGTCCCATCCCCCTGGCCACCCACATCACCAGACCTGAATATTATCGAACCTTTGTGGTCTACATTGGAACGGAAAGGCGTTCTCGGTTATTCACTGCCAACATCATTATCTGAACTTGCCACCGTTTTGCAGGAAGAATGTTATAATATTCCCTTGGCAAACATACAGGAACTGTATTTATCCATTCCGAGAAGACTGCAAGCTGTTTTGGATGCCTTTTGTCCAACCCCTGTATGTCCAAAACCATGCTTTCAAGCTATGAAAAACACAAGTTGAATTTCGTCAACTTCCCAATTGTAGATCTGGAAATGCAGAACTGTCCTATTTTTTTGACTTTATACAATAATTATTAATTTTCATCATATTCAAAAGTACTTTTATAAATAAAAACTACTCAGGATTTTCCACAGTGTAAAAGTATAAGAATGTTACAGAATGGAATTAGCCAAAGAACATAAGATTATCTAATTAAATAAATATTACTATATTTTATATCAAAATCCTCTTATTATTAGTTTACTAACTGAATTTAAGTCGGCATAGAGTTCTTTTAAAATAGCATCAATACTCTGCATGGAAATCTGCTGGATATTTTTAATTTTCTCGTGAGGACATCCACATTTTTCGTATTTCAAGGTTGGCAACTATGGAAAATCACACAAATTGGTATTGATGTTTTTATTGTAACTTTAGATACTTAATAATTAATTTTATTGATACTTTATAGTTCTCTCTCTCTCTTCCCTAGCCTTTCCTTATAAGTTATCATTTCAGTGATATTTCTGATTTCAGCATAAAGTCAGATTTTTTTCTTGTTTTAAAAAATCATTCTCTTAAATGAAATTTTGTATCTTTCATAGTAAGAAGCATGTCCTGCGTCCAGCAACATTAGTCTTTCGGTGTTCTATAGTAAAAATTGGGCTAGTTTAAAATTTATCAATAAATGCTGTGTTATCTTTTTCAGCTGAATTGCCAAGTAGATTCTTTATTAAATTTGTAATGTGTTTATTATGTCAGCAGAAAACTTTGATATTCAAAATATATCCATATTAGGTTTTGGATAAGATAAACATCGTTATGCCATATTAGCATGGTTTTTATAGCATGTATTGTTAAAAGTAGAGTAGATGCACTTATGGTATTTCTCCAGTCTTTCATTACTAGTAATAGCTCTTTTGATGGATTGTGTATGTGGATCAATAGTCATAAGCAATTTTTGTGCATAATATTTACTGAATAATGCATTTACTATCTTTCTTTTTAAAATTATAAATAAATAATGCAAAGGAAGTATTTTAACTGAAAAATTAAAAATAAGAAATTTTACATGGATTGCATATGATGTAGGATCTTACTTCAAAGCAAATTACTTAATAAAATTATTTATGTTAAAGTATGCTTTGTATCAGTAAAATAAAAAACCTGTCAGTGCAATATGCATTACTGTATTTGATGGCATATAAGACGTACTTTTTTCCTGAATTTGGTCTCAAAAATGTTACCTACGTCTTATACATGAAGGACACAGGTTAACTTTCAATACTGAATGCTATTTTTAGCCCGGATAAAGGTCTAGACACACGTAACTTTTTCTACATCTACATGTGTGTGGTCTTCTAAATACGGGTGAGTCTTATATGCCGTCAAATGTGGTAATTAAGAGGTGTGTTATTTCTGTTTCTTTTTTTTCCCGGGGGGGGGGAAGGGCTGTATATATAAAATATACTTCTATGAATATACAAAGATTGAAATTTTTATTTGCATTTCATCAATATTATTATTGATTATTTTTCTTTGCATTCAATTTCATAAAGATACTCTTATTTCAGTTCTAAAGAACCTTTTTATAAAACTTTCTTTGTAGCTGTGTATGTTTCTCCTGTAGCAAAGTTTAAGAGGAACATTTACTCATTTAAATTGCTGATTCCTTTTTTCCCTTCTGAGACAAAAGCTGCCAGGTTCTAATTTTGTTTTCCATATTGTATTTCTCTGTTTCTTTATTTAGGAGTAAAAACTTCCAACATGAGGAATTTTGCCATCTAAGTAAAATTAAAGGCAAAACAGCATTTCCAAACTTTTTTTGGGGGTGGGTTGCTCTTGCAGAATTTTAATATTTCCATTTTAATTGAGAAAATCTGTAAAAAAGAATAGACATTTATTGTAATGTGTATTTGTATATTGTATTTATAAATCTGAATCTTATTTTGCTTTTATTTTTACAGTCTAATGAAACCCAGTGTAAAAGAAATTTACTAGCAGATATTATTGAAGCATCTGGAATACTGCTCGATAACAGCTCATCTGAAAAGTCTCCTGTGAAAAAAAGTAAACTTGCCTTATTTTCATAGGTTTCAAAATTAGGTATAAATGAAATAATAGTAGTTTTGCTATTATTTCATTATAGCAAGGTTAGATTCTTGAGGTTGAAAACAATTCAATATGTAAAAGAATTCAGAAGTCAAACAACAAAAATCAGCATTATGTTTTCAAAATTTTCACAGGACTAGTTTCGATGGTTTTACTGAACCACCATCCTCAGCTGCAAAACCGCAAATGAACAAGATAGGAAATAATGATTAGATAAGATAAGAAAGCCTGGACAAGAATAAGCAAGTGGCGCCATCTGTTGGTGAAACCAGAACTAAAACATAATTTCTTTAAAGGCCAAAGGTAAAGATGGATTGAAATTAGGATTGTTAACAAGAACAGAAAGATTTTTTTTTTTTTTTTTTGAATGTGAAATGCCTCTAGAAAATCCAGTTCTCCAATGGAAGATGTTTTTTGAATAATTTTGGCAGCAGAAAAATTGAAAGTGTGATTTTCGGACCAACAATGTTGAGCAGTAAACTTGCCTTATTTTCATAGTTTTCATAGTTTCACAGAGCAACAGAAGACTTCTGTGTTTCCCTTTTTTCTAACATATGCCTCATGTTCCTTGACACAAATTTTAAGGCTCTCGTAGTTTGGCCAATGTAAATTAAACCACACTGGCAAGGAATCCTATAAATACCCCAAGAATTCATATATCCGGAATGGGGTTCTTGAGTATGGAACTCGGAATTTTTTGATAGGATAAACTAAACTACCCGAAAGTTAAATTTCTGCAAAATATGTGCAACTTTATATAGCTAATTGATGGAAAGAAGGGAATGACAACAGAATTTTTTATAATCTCCCTAAAAAAGAGTGTGGCCTTTTTAGTGTGTTGAGATGAGAATTTTTTAACTGCTTGATTTAATAATGTTGGGTGAAAAGCCCCCTGTCAATAGCTATTGCTTTTAAATAATTTAGTTTCTTCATCAAGGGCTAGTTTGGAGGAGCAAACTTGAAGAGCACGGAAAACATAGGAATAAAATGAAGCTAACTTTTGTTTAGTCAGATGACATCATTTAAAGTGTGGTGGAAGGCAAACCGATGAAGGTTTACGGTTAACCTTAGTACTGAAGTTGGTTATTTAACTTTCGGGTAGTTTATTCTTCTATTAATAAAATTCCGAGTTCCATATTCAAGGACCCCATTCCAGATATGAATTCTTATGGTATTTATAGGATACCTTGCCAGTGTGGTTTAATTAACATTGGCCAAACTAAGAGAGCCTTAAAATTTTGCGTCAAGGAACATGAGGCATATGTTAGAAAAAAAGGGAACACAGAAGTCTTCTGTTGCTGAACATTGTTGGTCCGAAAATCACACTTTCAGTTTTTCTGCTGCCAAAATTATTCAAAAAACATCTTCCATTGGAGAACTGGATTTTCTAGAGGCATTTTCACATTCAAAAAAAAAAAAAAAAATCTTTCTGTTCTTGTTAGCGAATCCTAATTCCAATCCATCTTTGGCCTTTAAAGAAATTATGTTTTAGTTCTGGGTTTTCACCAACAGATGGCGCCACTTGCTTATTCTTGTCCAGGCTTTCTTATCTTATCTAATCATTATTTCCTATCTTATTCATTTGCAGGTTTTGCAGCTGAGGATGGTGGTTCAGTTAAAAACCATTGAAACTAGTCCTGTGAAAATTTTGAAAATATAACGCTGTTTTTTGTTGTTTGACTTCTGAATTAATATTTATTCAACGTGTTATTGTGTCTTAATTATGTCTGACCAACAAATTTCACGTAACTCTGTAATTGAAATTTTTTTCTCATATAAATTGTCTATCAGGCTGTAATGAAAATACTTAGCTTAAATTTTTCATGAATGTGTTCTGATAAGCTGAAGAAGGTCATTAACCCCTCCAGAAAAATAGTATCATTGGCAATGAAATCAAGCATATTCCTTTTTTGCTTCTCTCAACTAATGTGTATTTCACTACTATTTCCTTGGCAGATAATGTTTCATCCTCAAGTAAAGCCTGGGGTGGCATTTTTTAAATTACTACTTTGGTGAATTTATAGCTGCTGTTGTTGCTCTTTTCAGAAATAATTCCTTTTCATACCATAGCTTTTGCCCGCTTTGTTCTTCATTTTCTATTTTAATATTCCATTTTTTGGTCAGTATTTAGTCAGTTTATGCAATTTTATTATAATTATTTTCCCTTCCCCCCCTTTTTTGTGATAGTACAAGTTTCAAAAAATGAAACAGATATAAAGCAGTCTAAGTTGAATCATACTGTTACTTTTCCTATTCCTTCTTATGTTGTAGTTATATTTTATAAAAGTTTTTCCTAGCTCACAAATTAACAAATAAGTTAATGTTATCATTTTGAGTATAATATTAAATAACATCACTGTGAGGCAACATTTCAGGATAGTTTGTTATTGAAGATGCTACATTACATTCTCTGAAAGAGGAAACTAAGTTTGATTTGTTAATTTCAACAGGCTTAAAGACCAAGAAAAGAATTCCAGGTCAGAAAAGCTAGAAAATGCTTTTTAATCTTTAAATTCAAAGCAGCCTAACCAAGAGTGCAAATATTCATGACAAGATTTATATTTATTTATTTAGAAAACAGGAGGAATAGATTTGATCCACTTCTTTCCCTCTACTTTTAATAAAATGTGTATCTTTAAGTAATAACATTTTTTAAGTTTCCAAATTAATTACCTGATTACCTTTTATGCATGTAGTTTTCTAGCTAACACCCATGTTGCCTTGTGATTGAATTTTGATGCATTAATTGTTAGTTATCACCAAGACCCCCATCAAAATCTCATGCAATTCCCAAGTAGTAGTAAATTAATATGAAGTCAGAATGGCTATCCCTCTTCCCCCTTCAAAAAAAGAAAATACGATTATTTTGAAACAGTATGGAATTTGAAAATTGATAGAGCTTTCACGTTACAGACTTTGTGCTCTTTGACACCTTCCAAAATAAGCCAAATCAGTATTAGCTATGTTTTTAAAAATAGCTAGAAAACATACTTCCCTAAAAGTGAGCATATTTTTAACATCAAAATGTAATTAAATGCATTTTAAAATGCAGGTTAAATATTTACATTTTTTTGAATAATTGATACTATTTTGTAATGTTAGGAAAAAAACATGCCAACACATTCATCAAAAACTTGAATATAAGGAATTGTTTGTTTATTTAATTGAATACAGTAGAGATTGCTAAACTCTATGTTGATAAGAACTGCATGTTGGAATTCAGGAAAGTTTCCAAGAGCTTTGTATAAATTGAATGGATATTTTGATTCATATTGTCAGAAACCAAAATTCAAAACAAAAGCTAAAACCAAAAGTTGTAGCAGAATTCATATTATAGTTATGCTGAATTTTAATCTTTATTTATTTTTTTAATTAAAATGTTAGGTGATGAAGCTAAGACAGAAAAAGAACTTACCTATCATCAAGAAACAGATCTGAAAGCTACAAAAAGTAGCAAATCTTGCTCATCCTCAGACTCGTCTGTTAGTGCCCAGGAATCAACTAATGTCAAATCAAGGCCAGTTAAGGAAATATGTATGAACTGAATTTCTAATTTTGCACTGTATTTTGATTTTTTATTTAAAAAACTCAGTTGTGTATAAAGTGAGATGTAGCTCTTTTCTTTCTCATTTTGAGCTAGTTTAGTTTACTGAGTATTTCAAAGAGAATTTTTATTTGTATTCAGAATTAATAACAATATATTTACAATACTAAATATTTCTAATACTTTTGACCATTGGATTAATTAAAGTACAAATAATGTGCTGTTGAATCTTAAATCTCCCATTTTGCTTATTTTTTCAATTATGGCAAAGCATATCAGGATTTATTTGCCAAAAAGAAGAGAGGCTTTTTTAAAACATTTTCTTAAGGAAACTGCCTCATATCCTGCATGAGGAAAACTATGAAAATACCTAAGCTACCAGCTTGTTTGTCAAGATATGAATCTAGATGAAACTACTACATGTTCAGCAATTATATACTTTGAACTAGCAGGGATCGCTTCCTACATATATAAACTTAATCCCTTATCTTTTTTTATTCCCTTCCCTGTGGGGATTTGTCTATAAAACTTTCTGTATGCCACATCTGTCATATTTAAGGATTTGAGTGGAGATTTTTTTGCCATGCTGCATTTTTGTAGCTGGTGAGAGTTCCATCATATGTGATTTTTGCTTTGGATGGGAGATGATCATACATAGAATGCTTGAAATAGCAAACTTTTATCATTTTCTTATTAGGGGATTTATTACTGGTATTTATGTTGTAAATAATAACAATTTTGCAATCAAGTTAAATTTAATCTGACTTTTCGAAGCATATGCTTAAATGTTCAAGCAGAATGGTTGGTTAACGTGGATGTAATTTTCTGATTTCTCAGCTTTCATCGTATATACGTTAGCATGGTTGCCAGAATATGATTTCTTCCACATAAATGTCCTTCTAAAGAGCATAACTTACATATGCAGGCTTATATTGAAAAATAGTATGTTAAAATAATTTATTACCTCTCTCTTGAATCGATTATGTAGTTTCATTTCAAATAGTATTTAAACTGTTCAGTCACCCATCTCATAGATTAGCTTCCATATACTAAGTTCTTCTATATAAGATCTTGTTGTACGAAAACTTTTTTCTTTCTTTTTGCAAAATACTTTCATATTATGAAATGATTTCAGAAATGAAAGGTGTTCTCACATATTAGACAGTATTATATTAAAATTAATACAGTGCATACAAAAATTGTTGTGAGGAAGGCATGAATGAGCTTTGAATAGCATTTTAAAGAATTGGAGAAGGTGAGAGAGAGAGGTTTTATTACTATAAGTGATAAAAGGTGTTGAGCTATTTTCTAAAATGAACTGTTGAATGTTCACTCCATCGAGTTTTCTCTCTAACCATTTTCCATATCTTTATAAAATTCATTCTATATTCTTTAAACTAACACTGCGTGCACAAAATGGAAGAGAAGAGGGCTGCACATTAGCAGTTTCTTTTGTATCAGTGTTTTAATATGACCTTTCATTTCATACAACCTCTTAAATTTTTATCTTTCTCCAAACTTCAAGCTTTTTTAAATCTTCAAATATAGTTTTTGTTTGAAATTACTTCAAGTAGTTCTTCAAAAAAATTAAAAAAATTAACAAAACAGCAGTGCTAAATAATTAAATTTGATTATTTACATATTCATAATTTTCTCTTAGATTATGCTTTTAGTGAAATTAAAATTTGTTTAGTTACAAAATGTATTTTATAGTTAATCTACCATAGTAAATTGGATAAACTTTGTATCTCTACTTTTTCATTATGCTTTTATTATATATCTATCTCACTGTTCTTAAATGTTTTAATTTTTATAGCTGATGATGCTTTGTCTTCTGAAATGGAAAAGAATGTAACTGATAATAAAAAGGAAGGAGATACTCAAGTAGAATCTACAGAAGTATGTAATATAAATCATTAATGTAGCTGTTAATTTTGTAGAGGAATCAAATCATATAACTTTACATTAAAAGTTATATGATTTGATTATTATGGGTAAGTTTTGCCCACTGTCAAAACAAAGAACCTTTAAAAGACAGCTGATTGAGTAATGCTCATTTCTGACTTGTATTTATTTTGTACCACGCTCTTCCTAAGTTCAATCTGCCTTTTTTCAAAAATGGAGTTACTATAATAAAACATGATCAGTACTGATTTTGCAAATGTACACCATTGTGGTAAAGCAGTTTATGATAATAGAACATCAGTGTATTTCAGTTTACAGCCATTGTATATATTGTTAGATAAAAGCTGTCATTCAGTGTTTCAGTGAAATTTTTGCCCTGCCAAGGCATAAAAACCATAATTTGAATACCCTTTAGTAACTCCTTTTTATGTGTCTGTGTGAGCAAAGTTTATTTACACTAACTTATTCAATGTATTTAAGTTCCTTATGCATAGAATAGCTTTTATTTTATTCCTATTAATTTGTTCATTGTGCACATTTTTAGCAATATTGCATTTGTGAGAGAAAAATTCTGTTAGAGTATTTTTGGTAATCAGTAACAAATGTCTTGAATTTGACCATTAAATTTCTTCAGTCATATTATAAATGAAAAAGTTTTCCATAGTAAAATTTTCAAACAAACTTATTATGGAAAATATTTTTTTACACATAAAATATTTAAAATAATTATATAGTTTAATTGTTGTTTTAAAAGTGTGTGACCTGTAACTGGTGATATATATATATATATATATATATGCATAGGGCGATCAAATATGAATAAGCCTTTATTCACTGAACGTCGATATGGGAACTTGTATGTGTGTGGGCAGTTGAAGTTGTTAGGTGAGTTTGCCTAGAGTAAGGGAACAACACCATCTTGCTTGTTCCATGCTTTATTTAGTAGCCCTTATGTTGAGTGAGAGGAGTGTACCCATCTCCATTGAGAAAAGCATAATTATAAAGTTCCTCATCTATGAAAATATGAAACCAGCTGAAATTTATCGCAGACTGCATGCCTAGTTTGGGGAAGCTACCCTTCCATGGTCAAGAGTGAAGGTTTGGTGCAACGAATTCAAACAAGGCCGTGAACGTGTTGCAAATCAAGGTCATCGGCGTTGTTCTCACACCTGTGTGACCATTGAAAATGCTGCACGAGTTCGCATTTCACAGTTGCTTCAAACTCGTTTTGAAGAAGAGGAAGCTTTTTTGCATAAAATTGTTACCTGTGATGAGACCTGGGTGCATCATTACACCTCCCAGTCAAAGCCTGCAAGTCCCATCTGCCAGGTATTGATCCTCCACAACAATGCCAGGCCTCACACAGCAAGTGGAACACAGCAGAAACCGGTAGAAATACACTATCGATATCGATTGAGTGTTTTAATATTTGTACACTAAATACAAGGTTGTTATTGCAATTTTGATCATCATTAGCTTTTTGTTTTTTGCTAGATATCAGAGCTGAATATCTTGACTTATTCTGCCACACAGCATTTTGATGGCTTAGGAATAGAAAAGTTTTACTGAGATTTTTTGCTTGAGAAGTAATAGAAATTTTTAAGTGAAAAAAACTGCCTCCAACTATTTTTATCAAACAATGAACTGCTATAGAAATTAAAATTTGCTACAGACATTGTGAGTAAATGAATTTATTTAACTTAAAATTACAGGGAAAATAGTGCGTATGTGTGAAATTTTTTTATAGTAAACTCATATTGGTAAAAAATTTATATGATTTGAAATCCAGATGATTTGAACAAGTCTGATTATTTTCCTTGTAAAAAATTCCAGTTATTAGCGAAATCCCATTCCCCCTCAAATTTGCATCAGATATATTGTCTGAGCATAAATTGCAATTACAAAAGCATTTTTTGGATCTTGACACAAGTGCAAAAGGCATTTCTGTATTTCAAAATCCATTTGATTGCCCAATTGAGGAGCTTCTATTGGACTTATAGTTGGAAATGATTGATCTGTGAAATAATGATGTGCTAAAAAGGATGTTTAAAGAAATGAATCTAACCCATTTCTATAAATATGGTCATTTAAAATCATATGTTCAGATCTGTATTTGTATTTGGGAGTACTTACCAATGCGAAATGAAATTTTTGAAAATGAAGTATGTAAAATTGCAAAACAGATGGCCATTTGCAAACAACTTTAATGATAGGGAGTACTATCTGTGAGCTCCAGAAAATGAAATATTATGTTGGGAAACAATTACATTAGTACAGTCAAAAGTCGTCAATTTGTACACCCATAATCCGGACCTCAAAGCTACAAACTTTCTGCGCATGCGTCACAATGACGCATGCGAAGATGACTGCGAATTTGCATGTGCGCGTGCGCAAAATACGTTTACGAATGCGCGTTTAATGTATAATGGACGGTATAAGCTAAGCTAAAATTATCTAATTCAGTTAATGTTGCAGATTGCGTTGTTCCTTAATCTTCGAATTGGATTCGGCTTATTATTTTTTGCAGACTGTTAGAGCAATTTTATAAAAGTAAGCTTGAACTTTTGATTATGTCAAATAGAATTTCTGATATATATTTACTAATATGTAAAGGATCTACAAAGCGAAAGTATGTTTAAGTCCATTAAACAAAAAAGTGGAATTGCTGCAAAAAAGGGTTAAAGGCATATCCTTTGTGTATCTAAACTTTAATGTTTGTTTATCTAAACTTTGTTTATCTTTAACACGGCAGCGCGCAATGAATTGGAAGTTGATCTGTCAGCACTATCCTTATAATCAGGGCAGATGTTTTTATTTTATTTGGCTTAGAATTCCTTACTAAATGTAATATTTCTTTTCGAAGTACTCCTTCTTTGATATGATTTAAATCAAATTCCTCGTCATTGTAATTCGCTTCCGATAGCGAAGAAAGTGACAGAGGTTATTGAAAACGAAAAAATTTTGATTGACAAATTAGTTGGTATTCTCGACACAGCAATTATATGACTTGAACAGCAGAACTGAACAAGAAATTATGTCTGTTTATAGAATTAAAGAGAATGTATTATCACATAAAAAACGAGGCAACTTAAACAACTTACATTGAAAGAAATGTTTAATAAAGTAAACAAATAAATATTAAGCTTTTTTGTTTGTAAATTTTGATACCCTTTAGATCATAATTGTTCTTTATTTCATAAATTATGGTTTCATATTTTTAATTTTATAATTTCTACATGCCATCTTACCAGATTTAAACTGATTATCTATAATCCGGAATCTCCGAAGTCCCGACGAGTCTGGATTAACGACTTTTGACTGTACAAAATTTAACCCTTTCTGTACTACATGCAATAAGCGGAAATATTTTATTACTATTATTATTATTTTATTTTGGGGTAAGTGTCTGCAAAATGTATATAAATGCTGTGTAGAGATATGATTTCCTAATAAAATAGTTTTAAACCTTTCATTTTATTATTTATTTTATTTTATTTGTTTATTTTGTAGTTGTTTTTGTTGCTCTTTGAGTAGAATTACATGTGTAAGTATCTTTTTAATTTGCTATTCTTGTCCGTTGAGCCTGAAATTTTTATGATATAACCTTTTCCAAAAAACGTCTACTGAGCCTTCAACTTAAAAGGTTATAATTTGACTCTGATTTATTAATAACAGTGTAATTCACATTTAAATGAATAATTAAAAAAACTATTGTTTCAGAATGATTAATAATACAGAAAATTCTGCAGATAGTTTATGGGAGGGAGATCAATTTTAAATCAAAGAAATGCAGTATTCTACATATTGTGACCTATATTTATTTTCCATTTTTTTCCATTTAGCAGTAAACTAATTAATAAATAAGTAGGAAATTTAATAAAACTATTTATGCATATTATTCATTTATTTTGCAATGCTGTGCTAAAAAAGTTTTTAGTCAACAGCAATTTATATATCTTTCTTCTAGATTCCAGCTAAAGAAACTTCCAAAGTGCTGGTTAGTCCTCAAATTGCAACTGAAAACCCAAGTAGTAGTGAACAAGTAACTCAAATTGAAATGCAGGCAGCAAAAGATAAAAATTTATAGGACTTAACACTTTTTAAAATGTTTCATTTATCTACTAAGTGAACATTTAAGAATGTAGTATCGGAATGAAATCTGTTTGTTACAGCTATTGTTTGAAATTTTTTAAGGGTTTAAGCAAAATTTTTTCAAATACGAGTGATTTATTAATTGTATTAAACTTTATTTATAAATTATTGTATGTTACTTCTATTTGTATAAATTTTACAGTTGTTTGACCTGCTCTAAATTTTAATGGTAAGAGTAGTACAACATATTTAAAAACAATTGCTTGTTCATTGTTTAAGTTTTCAAGTTTTTGTGTTTATAAGTACTTGTATAAAAATCATAAGTAATACATTTATTGCATTTGTTATCAAATGCTGTAAATACTAAAACCCATATCTTTCCAGTTTTGGAAAAGCTGTGCTATTAGTTTATTTGATATACGCAAGTTTAGTGAAAAAAAATTTTTTTTTAAATTTGAGACATAAATTATGTATTTTTCAACTTCATAACATTTCATCAAGATCTCATAAATGCTATCACCTGTGAACTGTTATTTTTTTATACCCCAAAATATTTTAACATATTTAAGTTTTTGTACTTGCTAAAGTTATCTCTGGAAGCATTATTTACATTAATTGTAAATTTATATAAGCATTTAACTAAATAATAATTTGATCATAACTATAACACAGAATGCATATGTTCTATGGTCAAATAACAAAATCTTGTAGTATACCTAAATATATCTTTGGAACATATTTATTATAATTATTTTTATTTTTGCATAATAAAGGCACATATTTCATTTATTTGAAATTAACTATAAAATGCTAATCCTTTTGTGTGTCTAATTAATCATAGCAAATTTAAAATTTAACTTGCATAATAAATATGTGAAAAAACTAATGGGTGGGAAAAATAATAATTTTAATTAAAATTTTCTTAACTCTTTAAACTAATGCAGAAATTTTATTTTTATAATTATGAGATTATTGCTGTTGTAATTGGGGACCATTACCTTGAAAATACTTTGAACTTAGGTAAGCATAAGTTTTAGTAAATTTCTCTTACATGTATGGTTTTTGAAATCTTATTTGTTAAATTATATTGGTATTTATGATTGTATTCTATTTGTATAAAAACATGTTGTTGATAATTTGTATAAAACACAAATCTTTTTTCCATCTACCATTTTAATAATGTACATGTAAATATTATATATATGATTTATCAGCTGTTATATGCAATCTTTGAATAAATATTTGTATGCATTTAACTGAATTTGCAGCTGTTTAGTAGAGGAAAGTTTGTGTCTTTAAGCATTTATTCTCCCCCCTTCTTTTAAGAATAGGATTTTTTTTTTTTTTTTTTTTTTTTTTTTAATTCAGAAAGTTTGATGATAAATTTGTCTCATTCTAATTTAGCCATTCTCGGAAAACTATTTTTTTTATGAATTATTCACTAATATATATTTGAATTTTTAAAATCTATTCACTGAGTAATAATGCAAAAATGCTTTAAGTTTTAAAAAGGATGAATGTCAGCAGAAGGTGTTTGCTGCATTTGAATTTTTAACGTTTATATAAAGAGTTATTTAGTTTTTATTGCAAGAAACAGTTAAGAAAAAAGCATTGAAGCATGAGTTCATGTGTTAAAAACATGTAATTTTTATTCTTCTATAAGGATTCAGATGTAAATAAAGTACAGTCAAAAGTCGTTAATCCAGATTCGTCAGGACTTCGGCGATTCCGGATTATCTATTTTTCTGGATTATAGATCATCAGTTTAAATCTGGTAAGATGGCATGCAGAAATTACAAAATTAAAAATATGAAACCGTAATTTATGAAATAAAGAACAATTATGATCTAAAGGGTATCAAAATTTACAAACAAAAAAGCTTAATATTTATTTGTTTACTTTATTAAACATTTCTTTCAATGTAAGTTGTTTAAGTTGCCTCGTTTTTTATGTGATAATACATTCTCTTTAATTCTATAAACAGATATAATTTCTTGTTCAGTTCCGCTGTTCAAGTCATATAATTGCTGTGTCGAGAATACCAACTAATTTGTCAATCGAAATTTTTTCGTTTTCAATAACCTCTGTTTCACTATCGGAAGCGAATTATAATGACGAGGTTTTTGATTTAAATCATATCAAAGACGGAGTACATCGAGATGAAATACTACATTTAGTAAGGAATTATAAGCCAAATAAAATAAAAACATCTGCCCTGAAGATAAGGATAGTGCTGACAGATCAACTTCCAATTCATTGCGCGCCGTGGCGTTTCCCCCTCCCCCGGCCGCAGAGCAGCGTTAAATTGATAAACAGATTTCGGAATGGTTAAGAAACAAAGGATATGCCTTTATCCATTTTTTGCAGCAATTCCACTTTTTGTTTAATGGACATCGAAACATATTTTCGCTTTGTAGATGCTTTGGGAGCTCCAGCATCGGAAATTCTATTTGACATAATCGAAAGTTCAAGCTTACTTTTATAAAATTGCTCTAACAGTCTGCAAAAAATAATAAGACGATTCTATTCGAAGATTAAGGAACAACGCAATATGCAACATTAACTGAAATAGATAATTAGATAATTTTAGCTTATTCCGTCTGTTATACATTAAACGCACATGCGTAAATGTATCATGCGCAGCTGTAAAAGTGTTACACGCATACGTCAATGACGCATGCGCAGAAAGTTTGTAGCTTTGAGGTCCGGATTATGGGTTTTCGAATTAACGACTTTTGACTGTAGCTTAATATAGTTGTTGTCATTTTTAATTAATGTATGATATAAAGTTATGAAATGTATATTAAATAATTCCTAGCTAATACTTTTGTTTGTAATTGAGCTGTTTAACTTTTTACGTTTGAGAAGTAATTCTTAGTACATTGAAATAAATATGAAGGGCAACAGAAAGTCGCCACTGGAGAGCAAAGACTAGAATAGAATGAGTAAAATAATGGCATAATCCATAATTATTCCTTTTTAGGAGCAAGTAATTTGGAACAAGTGCTATAGGCTTTTCCTTGAAATATACAGCAATTTTTATTGAGCAAAAATAAGGAGAAAAGAAAGGGAAGATTATGAAATAAGAGTGTTTACTTATTTTACTTCATAATGAGTTTATGAAGAAAGATATGCAAGCACTTTTAGCATTAAATCATCATCTGAAATAGTAAAATTTTGTTAATAAATTATGTTTCTGAAAGAAGGAAGACCAAATCTCAAAAGTGTATAGAGATTTTTCAGTATATATATTGGGAATACAAGTAAGTTTTCAGGTTTTTTTTGGGGGGGAGGGGTAACTTTGAAGCTTTATTCATAGAAATTGGAAGAATGCATTTTATTCAAAGTATTGTCCATCTTTAGCTACGACTTTTCCCCATCTTTCAGGTAGCATATGGATTCCGCATTTAAAAAATTCCTCGTCTTTTGAGGCGATACAAGAACCAACCCAATTTTTGCTTCTTCATATAAAGTGAAGTGCTGCTTTGCCATGTCATGAGTCATCGACGAGAACAACTGGAAGTCAGAAGGAGCAGTGTCTGGTGGGGTAGGATATCCCATTGAAGCTTTTTAAGGCTGGAGTAGTTCATAATAGATCACTCTGAACTGATCCCACCATATGCACGACATTAGCTTCTTGCCATGAATATTCGTTTTGGCTGTTGAAGATTTTGATGCATGGGCAGGCTTATCCCACGATTTTCTGTGCTTTGTGTCATAGTAGATATATTTTTCGGCCCCTGTCGCCATTCGATGCAAAAAACCCTTCCGATTTTGCCTTTGGAGCAGTTGTTCACACATGAAAAAACGGTGTTCAGCGTCTCTTGGCTTGAGTTCATATGGAACCAAATTTCCTTGTTTTTGCCCCATGGCCTTGAGATGCTTTGAAATTTCTTGTTGAGTCACTCCCAAGCTTTTCGTGAGCTCCTCTTGGCTTTGGCATGGATCCTGGTCCAATAACCCCTTCAACTCAGCATCTTCAAACTTTATTAGTCACAGGTTTTTATTGATGGAGCATGTTCCCCATATGCTTCACATAGCAGTTGATGTCCATCAGCTGCACTTTTCTTCAAATTAAAACAAAAAAACGCTTCCCACAAATTTTCTTGGTACAAAGGTTGACATAGGTTGAGCACAAAGAAAGTTTGTTGTTTACACTTCATCGAAATGAAACAGACTGATTTTTAGATGGAAATGCTGGTGCTTTAACGTGAATATAGTTACAAGATTGTGCGATAGGATTTAATACCAGTAATGCCATCTTATTATGTAAATCCCTCAAAACATTTTTGTACACCCAAAATATATCTAACAAAAATAGGATTTTGTATATTATGAGTATTTAAGTTGTAGCTATAGTATATATAAAATTTGTGGTATTGATTGGAATAGATTTCCATTGGTTTGCAGAAAAGTACTATAATGACTGAGCTATTCAAGTTATTTTATTCTTCATTATTAGCATTTAATAAGCTTCCATTTGAAGATTATTTATGTCATAAAAAATTATAATCCTTGAACTGTTGTATTATGTAATATTTTCTTTGCAATAAAAATCGACTATTGCCAAATAATCTACAAACAATTACCTACCAATAGTTCTTGTGAAGTGGCCTCTCCCCAGATCAAGTTTTCTTTTAAAAAATTAAGTTGCTGCCTTTCAAATTTACAAAACACATTTTTAGTAATAATAATGTATTATTTTTAATTAATTGCTAATTATTAATTTATTAATATAGATTTCAAATTTTAGCATTTAGTCCCTAGTTATTTATTGCTGTCAGTTTTTACTTGATAAATAAGAAGGTAGAAAGTTACAACATTATTGGTTAACTCTTTGGATTAATCAGTAATGTTGCATAGAAAGACGTATATTTTTTCACCTCTGTTTAGAAATTTAATTGTAATATTTCTGAGTTATATCTAATAAGAAAGTGCAATTTTCCTTGATTAATATCCTATGTAATAAACTGGTTCACCATAGAGAAATAAGTTCACCATAGAGAGATGAGTTGAACCAAATGGATAAACATTTTTCTGATATAGACATTTGTAAACATGTCTGTGAAATAGCATCTGGGAATCTGGCAGCACATCAGCATTTTGGAATACATTGTTTGAAAGGAAGAAAACATAACATAATAACAGAAGAAACTAAGGAAGAAATATATGCTGCTAGACTTATATATGCACATCCAAAAACAAGAACAGTTCACTGCTGTTATAATATAATATTTAAAATTTCAAAAAACCATTTATTATCAGCTGTGATTTACTAAAAACTACATCATGATTAACTTGTTGATAATATTGTATAATTATGTAAGAAGTGTAAATTTCACTAGTGAATGAAATTATTTTCCATTTAAGTACATTTAGTTTTTTGACCAATATATGTATGACTAAGTTCATCAAACTGTGCAAAATGTCTTCAAATCTTACTGTTACAACTAAATAATGATCATTTGGCATAAAATATGCTTACATTTTTATACACTGTGGTCTTCATATCAAGAATATACACATGAATTTAGCTACACAATTTTCAAAATGCTCTAAAGAAATTCAAAAATTAGCAACAGTTTTGCAAAGTATGTGAAAGTTCTCATTAAAAATTTTAAATTTTGTTATTAGGGAAATATATAAATTATTTTTAGAAACGTATATCTAGTTTCAGTAATTATTCTCATCCAGGCAGAAAGAAACATGGCAAAGTGAAACATACGATTAGGCAAAGCAACATCCATCTGAGTCTTGGTTAAAATCTAACGAACACAAAATTGTTGCTTTGCCTAATTGGTGTTATGTTTCATTTTCTTTTATAAAATATGAATACATTTTTTATTTATTATTAATATAAGATTTTAAAACATAATTAAAAAAACTATTGCGGTGAAGTAGTAAGCAAAAAGGTGATGCAGTTTTTATGTTAATAAGATAACAAAGGAATAGTTTCATAATTTCATATAAATTTATGTGAATATATGAATGATTTAGGATCAGATAATTTAATTATAAGTGCACTAGGCTGTCTGCCTAAGGAGTATCTTCACAAAGGATTTTCTAAGAGAGACTGAGGTATATTTACTTTACATGTAAGAAAAACTATAAAAACTTCATGCAACCAGCTATTGAACTACTAGGAATAACCCATTTTGAACTACTGTTATTTTGCTTTGAGCACTGAATAAGCTAGGCAACAATATTTATGAGATAAAGTTGCAAAAATGACCTATGAAAGTGCATGTATTTGAAG